ACAGGTCGCCCACCGTGGTCCCCGCCACCCCCTGGTGGTCAGCACACGTCATAGCGAGCAATCCACCTCCCCTTCTCCAGGTGGAACTCCAGAGGGGACACTTTGCATATTAACCTTTTATATACGGTATAGAGAGGCCACCAATATGTAATGTGCACTGGCTGCGAGTTGCACAGTGTTGTCAGCACTGTGGCTGTGGAGGGGAACAAAACAGGAAACCAAAAACCTGCCCTCAAGGAACATGCCTCTGGGGAAAGAGCAATCCAGGCAGATGGAGCAGCAAGTGCGAAGGCCCTCGCACAAAGCCTGGCAGCCTAGAGGACAGCCAGGGGTCCACGAGCCCTGGGAGAAGGGGCCAGTTGTATGGTAGCTCAGTGCGGTGGGCAAGGGACCAGATCATAGAGCAGCCGTGGGCAAACTACGGGCTGTTTGAAATGAATAAAACTAAAAAAAAAAAGACCGTACCCTTTTATGTAATGATGTTTACTTTGAATTTATATTAGTTCACACAGACACTCCATCCATGCTTTTGTTCCGGCCCTCCGGTCCAGTTTAAGAACCCATTGTGGCCCTCGAGTCAAAAAGTTTGCCCACCCCTGTCATAGAGCCTTGAATGCCCCAGGAAAGACTTGGGCTTTCATTCTTAATGATAGAAGCATCCAATCATTGGGCCTGGCCGGTGTGGTTCAGTGGTTGGGCATCGTCCCATGCACCAAGAGGTAACTCGATCCCCAGCAGGCAGCGTGCAGGAGGCAGTCGATGGATGTTTTTCATGGAGGTTTCTCTCTCGTGGATGTTTCTTTTTAAAAAAAAAATAATTTTATTGATTTCAGAAAGGGAGAGGGAGAGAGAGATAGAAACATCAATGATGAGAGAGAACCACTGATCAGCTGCCTCCTGCACGCCCCACACTGGGGATCGAGCCCGAAACCCAGGCATGTGCCCTGACCGGGAAGCGAACCGGATAGAAACATCAATGATGAGGAAGCTCAACCACTGAGCCACGCCTGCGGCCTCTTTTTATTTAAGGTATTTTTATTGATTTCAGAAAGGGAGAGGGAGAGAGAGATAGAAACATCAATGATGAGAGAGAACCACTGATCAGCTGCCTCCTGCACGCCCCACACTGGGGATCGAGCCCACAACCCAGGCATATGCCCCCACCAGGAATTGAACCGTGATCTCTTGGTTCACAGGTGGAAGCTCAACCACTGAGCCACACCAGCAGGCATGGATGTTTCTCTCTCTCTCTCCCTCTCCCTTCCTCTCTAACAAAATCAATAAAAACAGTTTAAAAAATAATTCAATCATTCGAGTGTCCGCTCCTTTTCCCATTCATACGTTTATGTGAAATGTGTTTACTGGACCTGCTCATTGCTGGGTGGTGCTGAGGACACAGTGCCCATGGCAGACTCACT